TCCCCTAGTTTCTCTTCATTTGGATTCCTTAACAATGTTCCAGATTTGAGCTTTTCCCTCTTCACACCTCTTTGTCCGATTTCGTTGTAAAGTCCTATCCTTTTGACCTTTTTGAAGATGATATTCCCTGATTTTTATCGAGAGTTTTCTTAGGTGACTTCGATCATTTAAGATGTAATTAACTATAGGGGCTTGCCCTTATAGGAAGCTTTTCCGAACCCAGCTTAAAATAAACCCTATTTAATTATTTGTATTAAATAGGGGAACTTGTCGGCAAATAAAACGGTTTCGCAGACCCAAACGAATGTCATATGTTTTCTTAGTTTATTTGATTGAGCCTCATCCTCAAGTCTTGTGTTTATCCCTCGGGATAGATACAGAATTTGAGGTAGAGCGCTCTTTCATTTAAACTGCGAAAAATATGAGGTCAGTTTGATTTCATATTTTCCTAAAATTATATATATATATACGTAAATTAAGACGTCCTTCCGAAGCGGGCGATGAAATTTCAATTCTGGCTGCCGACAGCTTCTTACGGGCGACCCCCCAAACAACTTCTCTTTCTTTTTTTGTGCCGACAATTGTGTTTGTGGAGAGTTTTCATGCTTTGATATTCGTGAGCAACCAGTCGATATATTCAACAAATTTCATCCTCTTGGACAATTTCATGAGTCCCATCCCGACCATTGGTTGGGTTCAACATTTTGGGCAGATTGTTGCATCAATATCTTGAAGTTTACTAATATTTATTGTTAGCTGGGCCCTTTTAACAGTAAGATTATCATAGCTTAAAATGACAAATCAGTATTGTTCTTTGTTCTTCTTTAATGGAGCAAAATTTCTGTTGAACTAGGGAAAAGGCACATGTTTTGTCTATGCCTGTTTTTTTTAGATGATTTACCTGTTAAATTGGTCTCCTGTACATTTTCTGAATTCGAATTTTTCTCAAAAGGTTTATTTATCCTATTGTTCTTGAAGATTTTCTTTTATTACTTTCTTTTTAATTAGATGTTTAATGATTTTAAAAATAATGGGACTAATTAGGTAATTTTATTGCATTTGGTTGAGGAGCGTCTAATTCCACTTTTATTACAGGTTGATCCTGTTGCAGCGGGTGTTCAATATGATAAAGAGTTCATTGTCTGCTCCTTGGACTTGTTATCAGGAATCTGTGAAGGTCTTGGAAGCGGGATTGAGAGCCTGGTAATTTCTTGTTGTTGACTGGGCTTATCTACAAAAAGGTTTTGCTAGAGTGTCATTAAAATCTCAAAATAATCTTAGTGTAGTTCCTTTGCATAATTGATGTGCATTTTCCTCAAAGATGGTGTTGACTACTAGTGAACAAATTCTTGAACCTATTTTACAAAATATGACTTTTCTATTTCTAGAGGATAATCACAAATTTTCCTTAAATTAGATTTTGATATTTTAACCTTTGAATATAGGATTAAAACTGATCTTTCTTTTTTAACATTATTAAACTAGTGCACGTAGGATTTAGAGAATTTGAAAATTATTTGATCATTAGATCTATCTAAATATTTGTAATAAATGAATCTGAATACTTAGTAAATAATTGCAATTTCAAAGTGCAAAATTTTTCAAATGGGTTATAATCTAATTAAATGAGTTCTTGGGACATGTTGTATGTATTGACATGTTTTATTGGTTCTGGATAAAAAGGCTTTTATATGCTATCTGATAATCCTTGTATTTTTCATCAACTTGATGAGTTTATAAACCATCGCAAAAATTCTACACAAGTTGTATCGTATATCGAAATCAATGGTGTAATTTTGAGTATAAAGATTACATAAGCAAGTAGATGCTAAATTAAAATTAAGAGGAGAATGCTTGTATGGGTGGGTGTGTGGTTGAGTTGTTGGGTGTGTACGCAATTGCATCTTAAACAAGTGCATTTGTCTGTGTGTGGGAGTAGATGTGTGTATTATAGGGATAATTTACCATCTTCTTATGCTCTCCTTGTGATTAATTTTCAATGATATTATAACCTTTGAATGTCGGATTAAAACTGATATTTCTTTTTTAGCATTATTAAACTAGTGCATTTAAGGTTTAGAGGATTTGAAGATTATTTGATCATTAGATCTATCTAAATATTTTTAATGAATGAATCTTAGTACGTAGTAAATAATTGCAATCTCAAAGTGCAAATTTTTTCAAATGGCTCATAGTCTGATTAAATGAGTTCTTGAGATATATTGGTTCTGGATAAAAAGGCTTTTATATGCTATCTGATAATCCTTGTATTTTTCATACACTTGATGAGTTTATAAACCATCACAAAAATTAGTTAAATTTGATCTGCACATGATTCTTATGTTGTATATTGAAATCAATGGTGTAATTTTGAGTTTATAGATTACACAAGCCGGTAGATACTAAAATAAAATTAAGTGGAGAATACTTGTATGGGTGGGTGTGTGGTTGAGGTGTTGGGTGGGTGTGTAATTGCATGTGATACAAGTGCGTGCATGTCTGTGGGTGAGAGTAGGTGTGTATTATAGGGATAATTTACAATCTTCTTATGTTCTCCATGCGATTGATTTTCAATGATAAAACCATCAAAATTTAAATCTATATATACATGATCCCTCAGTCCACCTTGAGCTTCATGCATTGGGTTTTTTTTTTTTTTCAAAAGATAAAGTAAAGAGAATTGATGTTGAATTAAAACATGCAAAACAAATTGATACTTTGTTGACAACATTTCCTGTATATTTAAGCCTGGCTATACCTAATAAAGAAAGAGACCGTGTAATGGATTTTCCTAGTACCTATACTTCTGCGCACCTTTTATCTTAAATGAAAGAAATTAAAATTATTTTGATATCGTACATGCATTCTCATAAAATTCAATTTTTTTGTCTTACACCATACACCACAAATGATAGCTCACTATTTCCATCATTCATTAGGGTGGTACATTTGATCTTTTTGCATATAGGTTATGAAGCTGAGTTTGAACAAATCAAACATGACTAGAAATCAAAATTTTTAATTTCAGCTTAGCCATTTAGAGTGGACTTTTGAGCGGATAGACATTTTCTTATTAATTTATGAAGTTCATTTTCTTATAGAAAATTTTAAATTACTAATAAAGATTATTACCAATTTAAAGATATATGAATTTAATATTTTTTGTGCATGTGTGTGAGCATATGTATAAATGTGCTAAATTACAAGCATGCTTGCGCTTATAAAATTTATTGAGTAATTTCTAGATTATTGAAACTAATTTTTGAGGGAATCAACCTTAAAGTAGAGAATATTGATTTTAATTTATTTGAGCAATTATTGAGCTAGCTTAAAGTTTCAAACATTGATATAATTGAATCATGATTTTTTAGAACATTACTATCAACCCTATTGGTTCATGATAATTTTAAAAGATATGAAATTTGCATCTTAATATTTGTCTATTGGCTGTCTTTTGATTGAAAGACCTACGAAATAAAATCTGGAGAAAAAATATGCTAGCCACACAGTGGTTGCTTTAATCCTATCCTACAATCCGGTTTATGATGTACTACATCTTTAGGTGCTTTGACCTTACGAGTTTATGTTGTATTTGAAGCTCAGTTCCTCGCATATTGGTTTACACGTAATTCTAATATTCAAATTTTCATGAATTTATTTACTAATAATCTGATATTTACCTCTTTGTTGAGTATCTGCATCAAAGATTTTGTTGAATTTACATTCTAAACTTAGAATGCTAACAGATCAAGCATGAGAACTTTCCAAGACTCAGTGTAGTTGGTTGTTCAATAAAAATGAATATAGTTGATTGTGCATTGTGCTTTTCTCACTGTCTTTGTTCTGGTTATGATGGAGAATTCTACCCTTGTTTTTCACATGCAAATTGTAGGTTGGCAAAAGTAATTTAAATGATTTACTTGTTCAATGTTGCATGGATGATGCTACTGATATACGGCAAAGTGCTCTAGCACTTCTTGGGGATCTTGCAAGAGTGAGTTGAAAAGAGTATCAAAGTTCTCGCGCTTCTTATGCTTATCCTTATGCATTTAGTAAAAATTTTGAAATGGTCCCAGGTCTGCCCTATACATCTTCATGCACGCCTCTTGGACTTTCTCAACATTGCAACTGAGCAACTGGTATTGATGTCTTGTAGGCTACAAACCCATATTCCGTGTTATACAAGTAACGTGTTTTCTTTTCCTGGCAGAATGTTTCTCAGGTGAAGGAAGCTGTGTCCGTAGCAAATAATGCTTGTTGGGCACTTGGGGAATTAGCAGTTAAGGTCAGTGCATTCCTCACTTGTGATGTCTTTATCCTTTTTCATCTACGGCTCTGTAAAAGCTTTAAGCTTTAGTTGGATGTAGTTTCAGTTTCTGTATATTTTAGCAGCTATTTTAGTGATAAAAATTATTACTTTCTGCCAGAATTAACTTCACAAAGCATCATGTAGCAGCAAAATCAAGTGGCCTACTTTATTAGTTGTTCAGCCATTTTCAGGATTATCTTTTTATTCTCCAAAAGTTGGTTAGCAAACAGTTATTACCTAAGACCACCCACTGATTCATGCTTTTAGTGCTTTGTAGCTGTGATATTTGATTTAGATGCTATCAAATGTGCTAGCCATTTCATTTTTAATAACTGATATGCAATAACTGATATGCTGTTTGTCTGCTTCACTAAAATGTTAAATCTGAGAAACTTGTCAAGAGGGAGTTCCCGTGCGGGTGGGTTGCAATTTTTAGTTTAACTTTATTGGAATTCACCACATATTTTTTAGTTAGTGATAGGAATAGTGAGTTTAGGATTGATTTATTTCTTTTGTACGTTTGTAAATCAAAGGGCATCCACCACTTTACTATTTTAGTTATAGAAACCAATTTATTTCCATTAAGTTTTGTAGTAAAGAATTTTTGAAGCCTATCATTAGATATGTAAGCTTTGTTCATATTCCATCAACATTAGGCATTTCTAATGATACAATCAGCAGAAAAAGTTGGGGTTTTAGTGGTTTTTTATATCTTGGTTTTGCATTGATGTGAAGAATCTAGGTTCTTTTTAGAGGGGAACTTAGAAGTTTGAAGAATGATGTCTCATTGGTTTAGTGAGAAGGAAAGCAAGAAAAAGCAGATAGGTTTTGGCTTGAAATAAGAACCTAGAGCCAGGTGATATGAATTGACCATTAGAAGGGTCCGGTTAGGTGGAAAGAGAATACATTGGCTAAATTCAATTCCAAATCAAGATCTAGTATATGCAACAGTAGAACTTTTATTTCATTGACAAACTAGCCTTAATATCATGCACAAAATGGCAACCTTGCCCAAAATGACATGCTTATTGTGCTGCTGAAAATAGACAAAATTAGTAAGGAATATAATAGCATAAAAATGAGTAATGACAAACTGTCCTAAAGACCGTAATCATGTTTGAAAGACAAAAATAACTAAACTGGTACAAACTGTGACTTTGGCGCTGATATTTGAAGATAGAAATAATGCATTGTGCGTTTTTATTTTGTAATTGAGAGAGCTATTGGTTCATTGTAATAAATTTCATGATTAATGGAATTAATGTGATTTTAGCCAAGTCCTCATTATTTTGCTCTTTACCAAATTTCTTGAAGCAACTTTCAGATGGATATTAACTGTCGTTTCTATGCATTTGGATGATGCAGAATTTTGTGGATAATGCTGACATTTGTCGTGATTGCTGACCATATTACTATTTCATCACAAAATTCGCTTGTCATATTTGTAAATGCTAAGGTCATTGTTTGGATTCACTTCCTCATTTTTTCTTTCCTTGCCAAATCTAGTGAAGAAACTTTCTTAGGTGGAAGTTAAATGTCAACTTTTTATGCATTTGGATGGTGCAAAATTTTGTGGATAATGCTGACAATTATCGTGATTGCTGACCATATTACTATTTCATCACAAATTTTGCTCGTCATATTTGTAGATGCGAAGTTCATTGTTTGGATCACTTCCCTTTTTTTTTTCTTTCTTTCAGTTAAAAGAAAAAAAAAATACTTTGTACTTAAGTAGAGAAAGCATGCTGACCATCCTATTTTCATTTCGTTGTTTTTGAGTTGCATGGGTTGTTGCTTCCTTAAATTATGAAAATGCTTATAAGATATTTTTACATGTTGTCAAAACAGTACTAAGTAGTTGTTTAGATTAATTATACTAATTTAGGCTAAATTGAGAATAACTAGGATAATTAAATATTAATTTCTGATACTTAAAATTTGTAAGGTTTTATTAATGTTAATCATAATGATTAGCTCTTGAATATTTCAATAATTAAGTAGCTAATTAACTTCAATAATTTATTATCAGCATATATATTAAGGACAAGTAGAGGTTAATTAGTATTTTAAACAAGTTTGTTAAATTTTATAAAAATTCTGTTATAATAAATAGGCATTGTATAATAAATTAGTTTGATGGTGGTCAAATATTTTGATTAGGGATTAATCATGATTTATTTATAATCGTTAAGGTTTTCTTAGTATTATGTTTTGATTATTAACTATGATACAGCTAACTAAATAAATAAATCATTGAATTATGTATTATAATGGAGGATCAGTTATGGTTTTAATTAAAATCTATAATATTTATTTTTATTAATTATGAAAACCCATAATTGAGATTTAAATGAAAATATGACACTCAATAGAATACAATGGACAAATGCTTGTTGTTGTTGTATTATGAAAACTCTTAATTGATCAAATTAATTAATAATTATAGGCTAAAGCTTTTCACTGAATGCATTTCCTATTAAGATTGGAGAGGGTTGGCTTCTGTCATAAATAAAACTACCACTGGTTCAAATGCCGCCGAGGTCTCCTGAGTCCAAAACTAGTACAGATGAACTCTATTCACTAAAATGAACCAAATGTGGATACGGAATTAAAATAATTAGCTATTTAGTTTTATTTTGTTTTGCATGCATTTCATTAATTTCTATATCATTATATATATTCAGCACTCACTGAACGATTATGAAAGTCTAGGCAACCTGATTACGCTGGCATATTCTTTCCAAAGGGGCAAATTGTTTTGTAGTCCCATTTCAGGCTTTTTGTGATATGCCAGTTTGTAATTTTAATTTATCTTCTCCTTGCTTCTTTAACTTCAGCATTCTGCCGTTTTTTTTAAAGCTGTACGTTCTCAATTCTGTTTGTATAATTGAATCCAGGTTCATCAGGAAATATCTCCTGTTGTGATAAAAGTCGTTTCATACATTGCCCCCATCCTTCAAAATCCAGAGGTGAGACTACTGTAATCTATAATATGTTTTTTTAACACTACAGTGTTTTTATGTTTACTTTTTTGATAGGGTTTCAACAAATCATTGTTAGAGAATAGTGCCATCACACTTGGTAGGTTAGGCTGGGTATGTCCGGAACTTGTGGCACCACATATGGAACATTTTATGGTGCCTTGGTGTTCGGCTTTGTGCATGTGAGTAGTTTTCATCTCTTTATTCTAGGGAAATTTACATTCGTAGCACACAATTCTCATTTATTTGCATATCTCACGCCTAAATTTTCATATTTACATACACAAAACTTTGCTGCTTTGTACCTTTGCATGAAATGGTATATTTGACTTTTAAAAAGTAATAATAGTGCTATTTTTTATTTGAATTAATGATTTGAGTGCTATTTGTATAAATATGAAAGTTAAGGTGTGAGGTATGTAAATACATAAGAATCGTGTGCGATGTATGTAAATGTCCCTTAATTCTAATGTTCGATGATGATTTATTTTGATTAGTCTACTTTGCTTGATGTGTGAACCAAAATTGAAAATGTTAATAGGATCTTTTTTATGGCTAGATTGTTGGAAATCCTCTGAAAACCCAATCAATTTTCTTGTGGTTTTTCTTAAGTAAAATTAATGGTAGCATGCACATTTCATAATTGCTGGAGCGAATGCGATCTATTTTTCCTATGATTTCACGTTAAAAAGGAAAATGCCAAAGGAGCACCACCACCATCATTCTGGACATTTTATTTATTTATAGTTTCAATGCTAATTGGATTGGTGCTCTCATTTGTCTTTAGTGAAGCAGCTAGAGTACTATGTTTACGTTATGCTTAAATTGGTAGGGTCAGCAAGTTGACGACTCTCATGCAACTCAGATAATTAACAATTTGTCCGTGTGGACTATTCAATTGAGATGCGTAGCCTTTGCTGAGCATAGTTGGCGTAGCTTATTGCTAGTTTCACGGTCATGTTAAAACCACGGTATCTTTTCAACTAATTGAGCTCCAGGCTTGATTTTAAATGAAGACAAACAAAATTCAAGTTTCATTTAAGGTCTAAGGCCACCACCAAGTTGCATCATCCTCTATTTTTTATGATGCCTCAGATCAGCTAGAGATATAACAGAGGAATACGACTTATATACAATTTTTTCACTAACATTCATCATAATGCGTACTCATTGGAATAAAGCGATAAGAATTAGTCTTAACAAATTATCACAAGTAAATTCTAACATTTTAAGTCTTCTAATATAAATTAATACTAAATATAAACATGGAAGTTTTCATGAATAATCCTTAAACAAAAAGGAGTTTTTAATGACACCTATTATTTAAAATCAAATGTTTTCCAAACGTTTCTATAATCATTCAAATTTTACATTAAAGGCTATACAAAGGGCAAGTTATTCAGCTAACGGTCCACCTGCTCCTTACTCCTAAAAAGCAACATAGTACTATTTGTTAAGCTACACACTTGTGAGATGATCAATAATAAAATAAGATTTAATATACAAGAATGAATAAACATGCATGCTGGCCAGTGACTAACACGAGTAATAACAGTAGTGTGATAATTAGACATGCTTAAATACTTTAAAATTACATATAACATAATTTAAAAGTAATATATGATACAATATTAAAAAATAATAAAATTTGATACTAGCATTTTTATCATTCATTATACCATACAAGATCATATGTACATTTATTTTACTTTCATTTTCAATTCTATGCAAATATAATATATCATATCTAAGATAAAAAAATGGTGAATAAGGTGAGTAGGTAAGGATAAATGCAGGAAGGGAATCGAAGGGGATAGTCACCACCTTAGAGAAGGATACAACTAGAGCCCCACCTGTCCTCAAATACAACTCCAACAAGGGGAAGAAGCTTATAGACAAAAATTAGAAGAAAAACATAACCTAACCCTAGACTCAGCGAACACACATATTAATATAAGATAGATTGGCGAGAAGACAAAAAGGAGGGGGGTGTCTGTTTGGGCGGCAGTTCCTGCCCTATGAGGGTCAGGCAATCTAGCCTCCTACTGGACTGAGACTCTATCCTGCCTACTGACCCTATGGCTATTTCAGTTGGACCAAGCCTCTTGTCAGTTTATTGGGGTTGGAGGAGCTTATGGATCTTAATAGGATGTCAGGTCCACGAGACCTAACATGGCTGAAACATTGTAGTCCCCTGGTAGGTCGATCTTATAGGCATTATCATTCAGCTTCCAAAGTATTCTGAAAAAACCTTATGCTTTCGGCTTTAGCTTTCCAAATGCTCTTTTTAGAAATCTTTCTTTGTTCAGTCGGATCCACACTAAGTGTCCTTCTTTAAAGGTCACATTTTTCCTTGTCTTGTTCGTCTGTGCTTGGTACTTATAATTTTGCTTCAGTGATTTCTTTTTCGCCTTTCTAGTAGAACTTCCAAATCTCGTGCACCTGTTTCTCTGCATGCTCACTAATCTCTAAGGTCGACATGAGTGATACCAATTATAGTGGAGTGAGCGGGTTGCACCCGCACACGACCTCAAATAGAGTGTGGCCCATGGTCTGACTTATGAATCTACTAGACGCAAACTCGGCTCGGGCAAATCTCACTGCTTAATATTCTACCCTATGAAGCATCTCAGTAGATTTCCATGACTCATGTTTATTACCTCCGTCTGAGGGTGCGCTGTGGAATTAAATTGAAGCTTGATGCCTAATATTCCCCATAGTGTCCTCTAGAAGTGGCTAAAAAACTTGACATCCTTGTCTGAAGTGATGGTCTTGGGTATCCCATGCAGTTGCACAATTTCTTTGAAATACAAGCCAGTGACATGCTAAGTGTCCTGTATCTGGTGGAATGGCATAAAATGTGTCATGTTTGAAAATTGATCGACTATGATCATGACCATATCCTTGTTCTGTTGTGTCCTCGGAGATTCCACCACAAAATCCATGCTAACATCCACCCACAGTGCCTCTGGTACTGATAATGGGGTTTATACCTCTGCATATTGCTCCAGGTTTTGCCATATGACATCCTACATTGCTTGATGTGTTGCTCCACATCTCTCTCATGTGTGCGAGAGTCTTCCCTGCCAAAATGCCTTGCGTGTCCTCCACTGTGGCTCTCCTGAATGATGGAATCCCGCAGCAAACATCTAGGAATGCACAAATTACTCTAGTAGAACAAGCACACATCAACTTTGTAGTACTGCCCATTGGGATTCTCGTGATACTGCTCCCAGATTTTCTAAAATCCTTATCGGCCTCGTATAGCTCCTTTACTACAAATTCCACGACTCGTGCTTGCATCATAGTGATCAACAAGTGACGGTGACTTAGCGTATTTGCTACACAGTTCTGACTCACTACCTCGTGCTTAAGCACGGATTGAAATGACAAAAAAATAAGTTGTCTATCGGGTCTTCAATTTACTCTAGCTGTTCAAGAATTTCAAGGCCTCGTGATCTGTGAACAACATTAATTCACTGGTCATCTAGTGGCTCCAGTGCTCAAGAGTTTTCACAATAGCATAAAACTTATTGTCGTATATCGAGTATTTTCTCCTGAATCATTCAGCTTTTCACTGAAAAAGGTGATTAGGGGTGACCTCCCAGGCTCAACACTGCTCCTATCCTCACGCCGGATGCATCACACTCTAACTTAAATAGCTGTTTGAAATTTGGTAGTGTCAAGACTGGTGCCTGGGTCACCTCCTTGAGTGCATTGAAACTATTCTGAGCTGCCACAATCAACTGAAATTTATCTCCCTTCAAAAGGTCTGTTAGAGGGGAGGCGATGGTACTGAGTTTTATGACGTGCTGAATATCTCTTAGTGGTGGCAATCCCTCTAGAAGATTGTCGTTCATTAAATCCTGAAAGTCCTGTAGTAGTGGCTATAGCGGTGCTGGCATCTCACTCTCCCAGTTTCCTATAGTACGATTAATACCAGTGCCACTGGAGCATCCCGAATTGATTGCATGAAGGTGGCCCTTGGGATTAACATCTTTGTGTTGCCTCGGCCTTCACATTCTTAAAAGGTAACAACGCGATGCACTTCTCATCCTTTTTAAAAGAGTAAACATTCTTGAAGTTGTTGTGCTGAGTCTTGCGGTTGAATCGCCAAGGCCTTCTCAACAAAATATGACATGCATTCCTCGAAACCACATCACACTACACTTGCTCCTACAACTGACCTATCTGAAAATTCGACCAAACGCTGTTGATTCACCTGTATCTCGTTTCCATTCTTCAACCAGGCAAGGGAATAGGTCTAAGGATGTTTCCGCGTGCTCAATCCCAATTTCTTCACCATCAGCGTGGAGCACAACTTTCATTGTCGATGATAAAACTGCAAACCTTGCCCTTTATCATATACTTGATGTGAAAGATACTATGCCTCAACCATGATTGATCTTGCTCTGGCTCTGACTGTTGAACTATCCTTATGTATAACAACTTCCCTCATCACTCTGAAGCTGAAATTCTTCCTCTAGAATATCCTCTGACTCCCCATCCTCCACCTCCTTGATGATGCCTTGATATGTGAATGTGATGACCCAGCACGTGGGACAACCGAAAGCTATGTTTCTGTTGTAGTGAAACCTGAAACAACCCCTGACATGTATGTACTCTTTTCTGGCTTCTTTCCACTCTGATATGCTAGTCACTCCACCATCCTGCCTTGTCAAATCCTCTCAGAGGTACCTTTGTTGGTCGCGGTAGCTTTAGGTGATTGTCTGATTGAAGGTTTCAACTTGAATGAAGATTGCTGAATGTTTTGTTTTTGTTGTCTTGTCACCTTCAAAGTTAAAGTTTAAACATCCCCCAACAACCAGTATGATTGTAACTGCACAGCATTGCTAAGAGTGGGCTTCAGACCTCCTTGGTACTGGGCTATAGTATGTTTCTCTGGCTCGACCAACTCACATGTCATTTGCAACTGATCAAACTGTGCAGTTAACTCTACTGAAAGGTCTCTTTGCTGCAGGTGGAGTCTCTGAAACATGTCATGACAGTAATGAGTTAGATGTTATTTTCTCTGCTGCATCGATTCTTCATCTTTTTTCACTTGGTAATCTTATCATTTCCTTCTCTTTTCATCTGCCTCTATAAATTTTCCCACCACAAAGATGTGCTCTTTTTCAACTAGATGATTGGTAATTTCACTAGCTTATCCTATGACACATCCATATATTCAAAAATTTGCTCAACAGATTGCAACCAGTTAATAAACTTACACGGATCCTTACCCCCATCAAACTCTGGTAGATCCATTTTGATGTCGAAGTTTTTGTCCTCCAAATATGGGCTCCTTTCTTGACCTTCTTTGATATTGAATTCCGAGATGACATGGTCATTATTCCTCATTGCTGATATTTTCCCTATGGAATGGATTCTGATCCTCGCCTTTGTCTCTCCTTCGACTCTCTGAATCACGATCAAAAGTAATCTCACATGGGTTCCATTATCAATATATGGGAGCCTTTGTTAAAGCTGACAGATGTCTCTTTGTATCTCGTCTCGGGTAGGTTCCAACATGTATCTCCGTGGTGACATGATTAGGGTTTGGGTTTGGAAGAGATGGTTGAGGATAGGAAAGAAAAGTGTTTGGTGGAGTAAGGACGGATGTTGGGAAACCCTAGGATAGGATTAGGTTTAACCTGACTCTGATATTAAATGATATTGGAATTAACCAACCTGCTATGACAAAAGCAAATTTTTATTAAACAAAAAACTACTGTTATAGTCAAAACTCAAAACAGAACTAAAAATACAACAAACATCAAGATCTGGCTAGGGCTAAGTAGTAGTATTCATGGTAGAGGCGACAGCTTGGTTGTAGGCAGTGGAATAGGATAGGCTTAGTGGTTGGATTGGTTGGGTAGGAGAAGTGGGATGGCTAGTGGCCGGAATCAGGGTAAGGGTTGGATGGCTCTCGGGTGGCTGATGAGAGGCGTGGGAAGAGGGAGGTTGTAGAGAGAGTGGTGGCTGGAATAGGAGACGTGGGGGAGGACTAGGTGGGGCTGGCGACTAGGAGTTAGGGGATAGAATGTCGGCGGTTGGTTGTTGTAAGAAAAGAGCGGGGGGGGTTGGAGCAGTTACAAGCTAGTTGCTGGAAGTGGGAAGGGCCACCTAGAAGCAGGATATAGCCGGAGCGCCATTTGTTCTCGGATACAACCCTAGCAAGTGGAAGATGATTATAACTAGAAATATGAAACAAAATATAACCTTACCCTTAGGCTGAACAAACTCTTATTCATAGAAGATAGATGGGCGGGAAAACCAAAAGGTTGTTAGGGGTTAGGGATTGGGGGG